AGCAACCACTCACAGGTCAATAAAAGAGTTACACCCAAAAATACTATAGGTAAGTCAAAATAGAATTCTAAAAATTCTTCAGGTAAGCTCCAAGAAAGCAGGGAAAATAAAATAGAGAAAAAACAGAGAATACAAAAAGAAAACAAAAAATAAAATGGCAGACTTAAGCCCTGATATGTCAACAATTGTATTAATGTAATTGGTCTAAATACACCAATTAAAAGACAGAGATTGGCAGAATGGATTAAGAAAACATGACTCAACTGTATGCTATCTACAAGAAATTCATTTCAAATAGACAGTTTGAGATTAAATCGGTGGAAAAGAGATGTATCATGCAAGCATTAATCAAAAGAAAACAAGAGTGGCTAAACTGATATCAGTTAACGTGGACTTCAGAGAAAAGCAAACAATCAGACAAAGAAAGAAACTTTATATAACAACAAAAGGATAATCCACCCAAAAGAAATAATAATCCTAAATGTGAGTACCTCAAACAACAGAGCTGCAAAATACACAAAGGAAAAACAACTAGACAGAAAACCAGCGAGGATATTAAAGAACTCAACAACTCCATCGATAGGATCTAATTGACATTTATAGAACACTCTACCCAATAACAGAAGAATACACATTCTTTTCAAGCACCCATGGAACATATACCAAGATAGACCATATCCTGAGCCATAAAACAAACTTATACAAATTTAAAAGAATAGAAATTATATAGTGTGTTCTCCAGCCACAACAGAACCAAACTAAAAGTCAATGACAAAAAGACAATAGGAAATCTCCATACACTTGGAAATTGACCAACGTACTTCTAAGTAATCCATGGGTCAAAAAGAAGACTCAAAGGTAATTTAAAAAATACTTTGAGCAGAATGAAAATGAATACACAACATATCAAAACTTTGTGGTACACAGTTAAAGCAGTGCTGAGCAAGAAATATATAGCACAAAAGGCATAAATCAGAAAAGAGAAAAAGTCTCAAATCAGTTATCTAAGTTCCCTCCTCAAGAACCTAGAAAAAGACGAGCAAAATAAACCCAAAGAAAGCACAAGGAAGTAAATAACAAAAATACAAGCAGACATTAATGAAATTGAAAGGAGAAAAACGTTAGAAATAATCAATGAAACAAAAACCCAGTTCTTTGAAAAACTAAATAAAATTGACAAACCTCTAGTAAGACTGAGAAAAAAATAAAGACACAAATTATCGATATCAGGAATGAAATAGGGGCTATCACTATAGACACAGTAGACTCAAAAGGACAATACAACAAACAACTCTACATGTATACATTTGAAAACTTAGATGAAATGGACCAATTCCTTAAAAAACAAAAAAAAAACGCCACAAACTGTCGTAACTGACCCAATAAGAAATGGATTATTTCATGCTGTAACTATTAAGGAAAGTGAATTTATAATTTTAAAACTCTCAAAAAAGTAATCTCTGGGCCACATGGCTTCATGGGAACATTCTATCACATGTTTAAAGGAGAATTAACACTAATTCTACCCAATCTCTTCTAGAAAGCAGAAATGCGAGGAACACTTCCCAATTCATTTTATAAAGCTAGTATTACTCTGATACCAAAACCAGATGCAATGCAGAAAAAGAAACTATAAACCAATATTTGCAGAGCATGTATCCAACAAAAGACTAATATCTAGAACATAAAAATAACTCTCAAAACTCACTAGTAAAAAAACAAACAATTCAATTAGAAAACGGGCAAAAGATGTGAAAAGACATTTTACTGATGGCTTAAGCACATGAAAAGATGTTCAAGAGAATTAACAACTGGGGAATTGCAAATTAAAACCACAATGAGGTATCACTACACACCTAGCAGAATGGCTACAATAAAATACAATGACACTAAGTGTCACTTGTTAACAAATATATGGAGAAACTGAATCAGTCACAGATTGCTGATGGGAACGTAAAATGGTGCGGCCACCCTGGGAAGCATATTGGCAGTTTCTTAAAAAGCTAAACATGTAATTAATACACAATCCAGTAATTGCAGTCCTAGGCATTTGTCTCAGAGAAATGAAAACTTAGGGTCGCACAAAAACCTATATATAAATGTTTATAGCAGCTTTACTCATAAAAGCCCAAAATGGGAAACAACGTAGATATTCGTCACTGGGTGAATGATCAAACAAACTATGGAATAACCATATCATAGAATACTGATCTGTAGTAAAAACACGTGGACCTTCGATACCACCACGCCTTGGAGGAATCTCCAGATAATAACACTTAGTTATTAAAAAAGCCAATCCCAAAAGGTTAATACTGATTCCATTCTTGAAATGAGAAAATTGTGGAGATAGAAAGCAGATGAGTAGTTAGAGGTTGAAAAGGAAGCAGGAGGAGAAGAGACGTGGATATCTATTTTGCAACTATAGTTTTCCTTCTTAGGGGAGACTGGTAAAGAGCACGCAAGATCTCTTTGTATTATTCCTTACAACTTTATGTGAATCTACAATTACCGCAAATTGAAATTTTAATTTTAAAAGATTTTAATTATTTATTTTTTAATGCAAAGGAAAGGACGACAATTCTCAGCAAGTTGACACGACAAGGAAATACCTGGAAAGAAGGTGGCAGTGCCTTCAGGTCATTGACTATGATACCACACTTTTTCTCGAAATACAAAGTGTGGTTATTTTACATTGCATCTCATAAAACATATTAACTAGCTAGCATCCAATTTTTATGATCCACAGAGATTTGGTTCTCTCTTCCAAATTCTGCAATTCTAATACAAATTACATTTAAGCCGATCCAACTGGGAGTTGCTAAACCCCATAAAAGCAATTACAGTCATAAAGAGATGCTGTAAAATTGATATTAGAACTACTCAATCCACAGCCGTCTCCCGCCCCTCCACCTCCTTCACACACACACAGGCAAGGTGCTTGCCTTTCACGCATGCGCTGGGAGTGCATCCCAGGTAACCGCAGGCTGCCAAAGGCATTGATTTTAAATTCTCGTTCGTTAATATAAGTCAAGAACAAACCATTACTTTGACTTTCTGAATAACAGCAGCATAAAACAGCTCATGCAACCACATGCCTTGTTTTGCCATCTTTCACAGTTTTGGACACTGTCCTTTTATATTCAGATGAGGATTCAAAGCTAAGAAATAGTCACCAGAAGAGGAACATTCAGGAATTTACAGTCCTTTCTTTTTTCCCACAGTGACTTCTTTTCCTTTTCTCTTTTCCAAGATAATGACATCACGGCCATTGTTCTGCTTCAAACTTGTATTTTTCCTCACCCAAGTGTGAGAGAGTGAAAATATAAGCAGAGGCAGATTATAGGGAGAAAATAGGCTATTCCTGATCTGCTTTCACAATTGAAACTGTCTCAACACAGGTTCTCAATTTTTTAGTGTGCTAATTTGGAATGTTTGGAAAACAAACACACAGCGCATGGAAACAGTTCAGAGTAGTTTGCTAGTCAAATCAGTCCTCTTCAATTTTACACTCTCTAATTCTTTTCCTAGCAGTTCAGAGTTTTTGTAGTTACTAAATCATTATAGATGTGTTTTTCTTTTTGCGGATATCTTGGTTAAAAACAAGATTATGAAAAGGGACACAGTCTTCTCGTGACCACATCATAGAGAACTGTTATCATAATCAAATTACCTAAATGTTAAAAATACTCTCGCTCCCTCAAAACTCTGCTCCCATCTAAAATCAGTCTGAAATAGAATGAATAGATAAAATCTACACCAATCAGTTCAAATAAATTGCAGCCTACACTAGAGACTTGTTTTGTTCAAGTTATTGATTTAAAAAGCTATTAACATGTACCTAATTATCTCAGTATCTCAGCATTCAACAAGAAAGCACAATAAATACTAGCGTAATCATTTTTCATTCAATATGTAATTGAATCCATACGACAGAACATAAATTATAGTATTTAGATTATGTTGTTTTCATAACAAAAGTAAGCCATTAAAAAACATAAGATAGCTGTTTATGTGATTTTTTTCCCCACGCTTAGACCAACATTCCGGTTACTCTGGTGTTTATTTTTTTGGTAACCAAACACCCCTATTAATAACACCTCAGTACAAAAATAAAAAGTGTTCACAATGAAGCAGGTCCCCCACCCACCTTCTTCACCAATAAAATGCTGCCTGTGTTCCAGTTTGCATCCTCCTCCTTAAGTAAATCTGCCTTTAGTTTTGCGGCTTGGATGTGAGGTGTTTGTCTACAGGGCTGGACAAACGAATGAATAGATTTTTTTAAATAAACAGCACATTCTAGCACAGCCTGCACTACAACTTCTAGACACTCAGTCTTGTGACCCAGAACTATCTGCAAATTTCTGCGCCTGTTCACTCACTCACATGCAAGGGAATGTCCCCAAATATTCATGATGGCTGAGAAATCAGTCTCGGATGTTTTAGCTCTTACAAGTTGAAAGGCTGTCTGAGAAGCTGTGACTGAGAAAATTTTTCATCTAAGAAAAGTATAGCAAATTCTTGACCTCAGCAAAGGTCAAGAAAAGCAGAGAAAAGTCTCTGTTTGACTTAGTTCTGGACACTTTCGATCTAAGTCAGCATCTAGTCCCTGGGAGCATACTCTTTGTTAGGCACTATATGAGGCCCCAGGAACAAATGGTCAGCAAGACAGGCGTGGTCCCCACAGCACCGCGTCTGCAGTCTCATCAAAGGCAATTATCAAGCAGGTATTACTGGTGGGGAAGGTGTAGCTAAAGTATTAAACATATGCTGTTGGATGCAAATTTGGCTTTGTGAATCTGGGGACTACATAAACCCAGATGCCATGTTTTCACTTCCTCGATCATGAGAATCCTTTACCCTCACTACTTTGGGCTGTTTTTTAATAAGACAGATTTTATTGCATCCCCTTGGACCAACTGTAAATAAAATCTATGAATGGAATATGCTATATCAGTACAACTTGGACCAGATGAAAGTAAAGAGACTCAAAAATCACTTACGAAACAAGAATTCTGAAGAGAGTGATTGCAGAAGTTGACTCGACTCTTTGACAATGCCACCAGAGACCAGGCAGGCTCCTCCTGTCGTCCTGCTCCCATCCTGGGCACGTTGTCCTATTCACATCTGTTGCCTCATGACTGAAAGATGATTGCTGCCCTTTGGTCTTCATCTCTTCATTCGAGGAAGGAAGGAAAGGAGGAATAAAGGGAACTGCCATCCATGCCTGAGGCCTTTTATCAGGAAAGCCGAGTTTTCCCAGAAATGACTCCAACAGACTTCCCCTTACATCTTATTGAACAGAATGAAGTCACACGATGAGCTCCTTTGCCTTCTGGTTCCTGATGAGGTTGGGCAGATGAGAGACATGAGCAAAGATTGGAGGCTGTGAGAGTTGAAAGAGGTTGGGGAATTCCTTCCCTCTTCCTCCCCCTCATCTCCTTTCATCACTTGCAGCTCTAGCACTGGCCATGCCCTCCCACAACTACAGCTCCTTCTGGCACCCTCCTCCATGGCTCCCGCTCTGGGCTCTGGTACCAACACTCCATCTCTTGCCCTTTCAGGCGTTGGGGTGTTAAGAGCCCCTCACTGTGGCTGGTTTCTGGGTGCCTTATTGATACATTTAACCCTACCCACATCTCTATAAACGGATTCATCATTAAAATATTTTTGGTTGACCATCTGAGTAAAATTCTGTTCCAAGCCAGAACTCCAACTGATACTCATAGAACTTTAACTGCAAAGGAAGCTGGAAAAGCAGGGAGCAGGTGAGCCATAGAGACTCAGATCAATCATAATCCATTGCCTGGGGTGGGGCACATGCCACCCTGGGCAAATGTATAATTAGGTTAACAAAGAAAAAGCAGAGATACAGGGATTTGATAGGTGCCTAACGTGGTCTGCTCTCTATGATTTACTGTTAGGGATAGTTTAAAAAGCAACCTGAGTGATCATGTCTTTTTGATTTTTTTATTGCCCTCAACTAACTCAGTGCCTGGCAAAGGACGTGTCTGCTACTGAGTAAATAATAGTCCCTTACTTTTATAGAAAGCTTTGCAGTCTACAATGTGCCTTCACACCTATTATACCATTTGATCCTCACAAATGGCCCTGTGAGTAAGGCAAGACAGGCATTTCTTTCCCCATTTCATAGATGAATAATCAGAAGTTCAGAGAGAATAACCACCTTGCCTTAGGTCACACAATTAGTAAGCTGTGGAATAAAAAGCAAAGTCAGGTTTTCTGACTCCAAAATCAGGCCTCTAGAGCTACGCCCTAGCCAATGTGCCAGGCTGTGGGTTCAAGGCAGCAAACCTAAGCCTGAGTGTTGGGTGGGGCCACGCAGAAGAGAAACAGCCGCGTCTTCCACAACGTGTCAGATTCTCAGATGCTGATCTCCACCAGCAGAGAGAATGGAGGACTCGTAGCAGTTTCCCTTTAAAAACATAGGTTCCAGGGCCAGCCCTGTGGCCAAGAAGTTAGGCTCGCGCGCTCCACTTTGTGGCCCAGGGTCTCGCTGGTTCAGATCCTGGGTGCAGACATGGCACCGCTCATCAGACCGCGCTGAGGCGGCGTCCCACATGCCACAACCAGAGGCACTCACAACTAGAATATACAACTATGTACCGGGGGCTTTGGGGAGAAGAAGAAGAAGGAAAAAAAGAAAAGATTGGCAACAGGTGTTAGCTCAGCTGCCAATCTTAAAAAAAAAACAAAAAACACAGATTCTGCTTCATACTGCATCAGTAAAGAGCATGAGTTTTGAAGGCATATACGCATGCATGGACTCATGGCTCTGCCGCTTACTGGTGTATAACTTTGAGGTGAGTTGCTTCCCCTCCAGGAGCTTTATTTTCCTGTTCTATAAAGTGTCGATATTAAGCACCCATCTTATAACATTGCCATGAAGTCTAAATTGAATCATTTGTGTAAAGTGATTAGCTTCAACTTAATAAATGTGACTATTTAGATTCATAATTATTATGATTATAAGTTGTCTTGGCTTCTATAAGAAACTTTCAGAAGTTTTGCGTTTCACTAAGAAACAGCATTAATGTGGAAGTACCAAGCGAGCGAACAGATTTATCCAACAGCTCTCAGATGGGAACAGACCTCGGAAGTTACGGCACGATTTCCACTGCTTCTGACCAGCTGCAGGATCCTGAGAGCTGATGCTGACAGCGGTTCACTATGTGCCAGGTGTCAGGAAGTCAATGTTTAATGTTTCTAAACAGTTGGGGCTTTCTGGAAAAGTTTTACATGGATTAGGTTAAAGAACAAACCTTGAAATCTAAACGATTATTGAACAGATAGCAGAAGATTTTCCTCCCCAGGGGTGTGTGTTTACACTTCTGGGGTCAGATGAGACCCAAAGCCATAGAGACATTCCAGGAGCTGTAAACCTAGGAACACTTGTCTTATCTTTTCCAGGAAACACTCACAGTTATCCCTCAGCATGCACGGGGGGGACTGGCTCCAGGACCCCCCATACCAAAATCTGCTCAAGTCCCTTATATGAAATGGTGTAGTATTTGCACATAACCTACGCACATTCTCCCGTATACTTTAAATCATCTCTAGATTACTTATAATACCTGATACAATGCAAAAGCTATGTAAACACTTGTTATACTATATTGTTTAGGGAATAAATACAAGAAAAAACACTGAATATGTACAGATGCAACCATTGTAGGCTTTTCAATCCACGGTTGGTTGGATCCACATAATGGAACTCACTAATGTGGGGGGCCGACTATTTATATTCCAAAGGGTAAAAACCCAGGATTCTTCCCCTCCTCTTCCCAAGGAGAATTTGTTCACAGTAGGGGGCAAAAGTATCTCTCCTTTTCCTGAAAAATGAGGTGACAGCCACCCCTCTCCTATATAAGCTCTAGATTCATATTTTGGGGGTTCCTCTCCTACAGTACAACACACACCCCATGTAGGCCTGTCCATTGGCTCTTATTGCATCATTCCAGAAGGAGGAAGAAATGAGGGGAAAGGCAACAAATAAGGTTATTTCTGTAAGTAATAATAATCTGTCCTTGTCCCAGCAACGTCATGTCTACTTTCAGGGTAACACAAAGAAATAGAATTATTAAACATATGTCACCAGGCACTATCTTAAGTGCTCTACGTGAATTCACTCATTGATTCCTCATAGCAGTACTATGAATCAGCTCCTCCTGTTTTTCCTCTGTGAAGATAGGACCCTGAAGCACAGTGACATGAAGTAACGTGGCCAAAGCTTCCCAACTGGAAGATAGCAGAGGCAGGGTTTGAACCCGGAGAGCCTAGTTCCAGAAGCTGTGCCCTAAATACCATGTTATGCCACTTCTAGCCAATCATCTTTCTCCCTGAATGTTTGGATTCACACTGACCCAGTATTCACGGCGTCTCACAACTAGCAGTCTCTCATTCAATCATAACCAGCTACTTCCTTTCCCAGTGGAAAGGAATTTTATAAGGAAATTTTCCTTCTGCCTAGACTTTGTGGATCCTCAAAGCATACATGTAGCTGTTTAATGCTTAATCTAAACGCTGTTTCCTCAAAATAATTCTGCAGGGGCTGGCCCCGTGGTGGAGTGGTTAAGTTCATGCACTCCGCTTGTGCGGCCCAGGGTTTCACCAGTTTGAATCCTGGGCGCGGACATGGCACCACTCATCAGGCCACACTGAGGTGGCATCCTACATGCCACAACTAGAAAGACTCACAACTAAAAAGACACAACTGTGTACTGGGGGGCTTTGGGAGAAAAAAGAAAAATAAAGTCTTTAAAAATAAATAAATAAATAACTGCCAATTCTGCTTCAAATGGCTACATATGGGCCTAAGTATTCGTGTGTCATGGCCAGGGGCTAAACTGATAGGTGAATTTGTGAGTTCCCTTTTTTGTCACTTCAAGATAAAATTGTCTCGGATATTCAAATGGCGTTAAGTATTTTTCTGTACGAGAGTTTTATACTTTCCCACTCAGCCACTCCTGAAGAGAAAACTCTGCATATTCAGTTATGAGACTGGCAGGAAACAGGACAACTGAAGAGAATGTAATAAAGCCTTTACTTACAGAGGAGGAGGCAGTGTTAGGAGGAACCCACAAAAGCTGCTGCAGCTCCCCAGGACCAGGAACAATTAGGAGCCTTTATCACCCTTTGGTCTGAAGGGTGAGAGAAGGTTACTAGAACCCAGAGAGAGAAGCTATAGTTGTAACAGAGGGCTGCCCGCGGGAGTCATGACCTTTAGTAGAGGGACAAAAGCAATCAATGGTAACCAAGCAAAAAGGAAGCTGGCGGAACAAATATCCAAAACCTGTTCCCTTCCCATTTTCAGATCTCCACTGGGGCCTCCTGTTAGCCAAACCCAACCTAAAACCAGAGGGGGACGGAGCCTGTGGTGTGGTCCGTAATAGTCAGCCTCCCAGGACATGAAGCAGAGCAAGGAAGGAGGAGGGAAAGCCAGTCTAAGAAAGAAACAGGAAACACCAAGCGCGTTCTGGGATAAAACAGCCTCCACGTAAACTTTTCCCTACCTGTTCTTTGCAAAGGATCTTTTCTCCGTAGAAAAGCAGTTTCTCATTCATTAGCTACGTGTGTTAAAGGGCAAGATGTACACAATTAAGGGCTGCTCTGCAATCAGCAGCAACAACAAAGTTATCATGTGCCTCGAGCCACTTACAAGGACAGAAAGCCTGCTCCACCGTGGAGAATCCAGCTGAGTCAGAGGACACTGGCTGTGCAGGTGGAGATCCCGGAAGATAAGTGTGGCCCCAAAGGAACACAGCCCGAGGCCAACCAAGATGGAACAACCAAATGAGATTTGTGGAGAAGTTGGACTGTGTTCCAGATAAATCTTGTTTAGCCAAGGAGAAGATTTGATTAAGACTGAAGGATAGAGAAAACTGAAGTTTACTGAGTACCAATTCTGCCAGGTTTTCATTTGAAGACACAAACTATGAAACCTCTGTTTAAAAGCTGGCTGTTATTTACCTATTTTTAGCATATCTGATGAAGGAAGTTTGATGAATACTAATAGTGATAAATAAATAAAGTTATGGCAAAGTTATAGGACTGAATGCACAGGTCTCCCAGCTTCGGCATTCCCCCACCCACAAAGTCTGTTACCCATACAACGGCCCAAGTAATTCTTTTGAAATATGTCAGATCATGTTACTTTTCTACTCAAAATTCTCTAATGCTTCCCCATTTCATTTAAAATAAAATCCAAACCTTACCAAGTCAACAGGCCCTATCAGAATTTTCCAAACCACGTGTCATGGTTCATTAACAGGTCATGAAATAGGGTTCCCCAGAAACCCACAAGCAAGGTCATCCTTTATTTTCCTTAAGTTCAAATGTCATGTGCCCAGAGAGGACTTTCCTGACAACCCTGTGTAAAGTAGCGCCACCGCCATCTTCACTCTCTTTTTCCTTGCCATACTTTGTTTTTCTCCAAGGTTTTTATCATTAAATGAAGCATCATGTATTTATTTGTTTGTTTTTTCTCTCTCTTTACTAGAATTTAAACTCTATAAGAAAAGGAACCTCATTGTGTTCACTACTGTATCCCCATGCCTAGAAGAATAGGGGCTCAGAAACGTTGTTGATGAGTCTACTGGATGGATGAATGGATGGAGGGAGGGAGTGAGGGAGGGATGAAGTAGTAGGATGACCAGGAGGAAATAATATGCAAGAGGACCCTGGAGCTAACAGAGGACCCGGTTTCCTTCTAGAAGAATCACCTTCCCCTCTCGCCTCCCCCTGCTGTATAGCTCCCCGTCTCAACCCAAACACACACACACATACAGACGTGCACACACATGTGCACACATACACACACACCTCTCACTGCCACCTTCAGGGCTCTGCCTATTGCTAACAACATTGAGAGAGCTTGTTGGCTAGGTGAGGCTCCAGCCAGGTAGTGGTTGGGAGGAGTCTGGAGTCTCTGTGTATCTGCCTTAACTGCCTAGATTGAAGGCTTAAGGAAACCCCAAGAAGCAGGATTATTTACAGACCTCAGCATCCCACTTGAAAGCCAATAGCCAACTAAGGGCTTCACTGTGATCAGCAAGAACCCCCGGCTACCTCAGACCCTTGGCACCAAACTTCATCTCTTATGATTCTCAGACTCTTACTTCAGCCTACCTTGTCCAAAACTCCAACCTTATTCCAAACATTTCTACTTCAGAAATCCAGTTAATAATATTGATTAAACATGTGGAAATTTTTAATAACTCATCAACCAGAAAAAAATTAATTTCATAGTATATGCAATTTGTTCCAAGTCTTAAGAAAGAGAAAAAAAATGTTTATTTCTTAAAGCAACCATAGAGCATTGGTTATTAATAAGACATTACATCAAAACCAATTGTTTTCAAAATAAATGGATTAGTCCATTTGCAAATGTGCTGGCCCTGTGAGCAAGGACCCTCTAAGCCCCAGGTTTTGCTGCCCCTTCAACCAGATTGGTCTTCTTGGGATCCTGCCTGTGCTTAAAAGGAAGGAGGCAATGACCACCATTCCCTAGACAGCAAGGTGAGGATTTACACAGAAAGCCAGAGGGAGGATTGTCCCAGAGCACACTGACGGGGACTAGAGGTCCAGGAACCCCACAGAGTTTTGAAGAACAGGAAGACATTCTTAGGAAAAACAAGGACTTATTCATTCATTCATTCAACAAATATTTATTTGCCAACTATTAGTGGCCTAACGTGTGCCAGTCACAGTTCAAAGCACTGGGGATAAAATGATGACCAAGATAGACAAGGTATCTGCCTTCACCAAGCTTACATTCTAGAGGCAGGATAAGGAAAATAAATAAGTAAACAAAAGACAACTAAACCCATAATAAAACAGAATCCTGTTAGAGAGTGAAAAGCCCATGAAGAAAATCAAATGAGATAAGGAGGTAGAGAGTGAATGAGCTGCTGAGACTGGGAGTGAGTGGGGTGGGAGGAACTATAGCGAAGGAGATCGTGGAAGGCATTTGTGAGTACACTCAGGGGGCCTCATAACAACGTTTCTGACCAACAACAGAGCACGTATGCCAGGGTGGTCCCACAAGATTAGCAGTGCATAGCCTAGGTGTGTAGTAGGCTATCCCATCTAGGTTCGTGTAAGTGCACTCTATTATGTTCGCGTAAGGACGAAATCACCTAATGATGCATTTCTCAGAAGGTACCACCATCGTTAAGTGACGCATGGCTGTGGTGACATCTCAGTGAGTGATGAGAAGGAGCCGACCATGCAGAGGTCTGGGGAGGAAATCGCCTGGCCACAGGAAAAGCAAATGCACAGGCCCTGGAGTAGAACACTTGGAGCAGTTGAAGAAAAGAAAAAAAGACAAGGATGGCTAGAGCCTGGTGAGCAAAGGAAAACAGCCGATTGCGAAAAATTTACTGCGAAGTTAATAAAATGAAGAAGGGCATGTGTCATTTTCAAGTAATTACGAAAAGTAAAGCCAAATAAATCTCCATTCATTTAGAAAGAGAAAAAACAGAGCTCAAAAGAAACAGACAGAAATAAGACCAAACATCAGTGACCACAGTAAATGACTAGTAGGTCAAAAACCAACTGTTATTAATAACAGGCAGGCATAATTTAAAATTATAAAGAAATATTAATAATGAATGTAAGGCATTGAACAGGACAAAATAAGATAATATATTGACTTATTGAGTTCAAACAAAGAATAACTTTCATGAAAAGATATCACAAATAGCATAACATTATAATAAATACATAAGTAACTATTAGAATCGTATGGTAATGTAGGAATCCAAACTAAAACGACAATGAAATTTCAGATGAGTGCAGAGAAGATGGATTTGTGGACAAACAGTGTTGAGCTAACTGGGTAACCACTAGGAAAAAATAAGTTAGATCAAGGTAGACTCCAAGTAGGTTAATGAAATCATAAAAACATCAAAACATGGAAGCATTTTGTATAAGTTTGAGGCGTCCGATGCCATTCCGAATACAACACCAAACTCAGAAGCCACAAAAGAAACAGTGGATGCATTTTGGTTATATTTAAAAATACTGAATAAGGAAACTGCAAACAAAGGCCGATGACAGACTGGAGAAAATGCAATCGATAACACGAACGCCCACTTTCCTTCATATATAATCAGTAAGAAAAGATCAATAATCCAACACAAAATAGGGTGAGCCTAGAACAGAGCTCCCAGCAAGTAGCTTAGAAATATGAAATGACATCCACCCACTCACACAAAGAAGTTGAAACTGCACTGAAGACCTTTTTGGGTTTTGTTTTGGTTTTTTTTTTTTTTTACAGTCAGATAGTCAAAGATCTAAACATTTGATAACTCTCTCTTCAAGGCTGAGCCTATATCTCTCTTCCGCGAGATGGGGAGCTTCTTGTTCTGTCTTACTCTGCCTCCCCAAAGTACATGAAGCATCCCAGGACCTCCACAAATATTTCTTGAGTTGACTCACTAAACAGAGTTCGAAAATGATTGATGGAGTTAACATTATTTGTTGAAATTCCAGAAACCCTGAAAGCATTTTCCTCTCCTAAGAATTAGTACAATAGCCCACTGTCCCCCTAAATCTAGTCCTTC